TAGATCCCTCAGGTCATCTGGATCCAGTCTTTTGTCAGTTCCCAGAGTCAGAACCAGACACGGAGAAGCTGCATTCAGCTTTTATGCTCCTTATATCTGGTGGGGAAAGGTGGGGAAAGAATGAAAAGATAAACCCTTTTCAACCTTATTCCCTTGCCGGTCGTGCGATCTAACTTTACAACCGCACAGCAAGTACGAACCATAGCTGGTGTTATCCGTGTACTTTTGCTCTTTCGCTAGCGCTTTGTTCGGCCCAGAAACATGGTGCCTCAACCAAAAATCCTGGCCACGCCCCCTCTCGTGACATCACGCTCCAAAGCCCTATTAGGCTAATCGTTGTGTCACTTCCGGTATTTCAGACAAACCCTTTCCCTCAAGGATTTTTAATTTGTTGTGGGGTTTTTGTATTTTGTTGTGGGGTTTTTGTAATTTGTTGTGGGCTTTTTGTATTTTGTTGTGGGTTTTTTTTAAATTTGTTGCGGTTTTTTAATTTGTTGCGATTTGCACTTCCCAGCCACCGTAATAAGGAGTATTGGACGATAGCTTGAAATAAATACCGTCATCTAAAAGATAGCCATCATCTAAAAGATATTGCCCGGCAGACTCCCCCGGCACAACATCGCCTGCCGGCAAAGATATCGTCGACATCTTGGAGTCAATCGATAAGCGATTGTCCAGTTTTGATGTGAGGCTGTCCCTGGTGGAGATCTTACACCGGGAATTTAAATCTCTAAAAGAATCCCTGGAGTTCAGCCAGCAGCAGGTGGAAACACTTGCTGCGGAAAACGCCACGCTACGGGACTCGGTCAAATCCCTAACCGAAAATGTGACCCAATTAAACATAGAAAATAAAAAAATAAAAGAGACCGTTATGGATTTACAAGCCCGTAGCATGAGAGATAATCTTGCGTCACATCGGGGCTCCAAAGACAGGAAGCGGGAGACCACGTCCTATTGTAGCCAAATTCGGCCACTTCAAGCAGAAGGAGCAGGTGAAGAGTCGCGGCAGAGAGCTGAAAGGAAAGGATTTCAGCGTGAACGATCAGTTCCCCAGAGAGATCCTGGAACGACGCAGGGTCCTCTTCCCAGTCCGACATAGTTTTATCCAGAAAGGCTCCCGGGCTGTCATTGCCGTGGACCGGCTCTACGTGGACGGACAGCTCTACCGCGACCCCGGCACCACTCCATGGCTGTATTGACCGCACACCAGATAAGAATCCGCTACACTATTCTCTTCACTCACTCTCTTGTATTAACTTTTGTTTAACTATGTAATATCAGTTTGCTAATTTAGTATAACGTCACCATCACTCTCCGCCAACGCTTTAAGTGGAATGTTTCCGTTTTTATTTCTTTTTCAGAATCAGAATCAGAATCAGAATCAGAATACTTTATTGATCCCTGGGGGAAATTATTTTTTGTTACAGTGCTCCATTTTAAACCAACATTAAGACAAGACAGACAATACGCTAACTAAGAATAGTACAATATATACATATATATACATACATACATACATAAGTCACTTATAAATAAATATTTGGAAAAGAAACGTGTAGTTGTAGCAGCAAACAGTGTGTTAAGTGGATGCGTTGTACAGGGAGATGGCCACAGGCAGGAATGATTTCCTGTGTCGTTCAGTGGTGCTTTTCGGTAATCTCAGTCTCTCACTGAACGAGCTCCTGTGACTGACCAACATGTCATGGAGTGGGTGGGAGGTGTTATCCAACATTGTCTTTATCTTGGACAGCATCCGCCTCTCCGACACCACCTTGAGGGAGTCCAGCTCCATCCCCACAACATTGCTGGCCTTACGGATCAGTTTATTAAGTCTGTTGGCATCTGCGACCCTCAGCCTGCTCCCCCAGCATGCAACAGCATAGAGGATCGCACTGGCCACCACAGACTCATAGAAAATCCTCAGCATTTTCTGGCAGATGTTGAAGGACCTCAGTCGCCTCAAAAAATAGAGACGACTCTGGCCCTTCCTGTAAAGTGCTGTGGTGTTTTTAGCCCAGTCCAGTTTATTGTCAATGTGTACTCCAAGGTATTTATAGTCCTCCACAATGTCAACACTGACCCCCTGGATCTTGTCGCTCACCTTGCTCTTTGGTTTATTTGCTTCTCTTTTCTATCACTATGTCGATCACCTGTTTCCCTATCCATCCACACGCGACACTATTTCTACATGCTCACTCTGCACAATCACGCACACACATGCGTTTAAAGGCAACACATTTACAACAGCCACACAGCGCACACAGATATAGGACACACACACACATTTGCTCATTTTAGTTATTATGCACACACATAGTCAGACCTATGGAGCTTCTTGCCGCGCATTTTCTTCTCTTTACTTACAAAAAAAAAAAGAAAAAAAAAGATGTGTTTCCATTCTCCGTACCCGTCTAAGCGAGACACACAGCGTACATCATTGGCCACAAACACACAACTATGGGCATGCTAAGATTTGTCACATGGAATGTGCATGGAGCTGGCTCTAGGGAAAAAAGGTTAAAAATACTTAACCAACTTAAAACATTACAGGCAGACGTTGTTTTATTACAAGAGACCCACATGCCTGTCACAGGTTCGAATAAACTTAAAACACCTGAGTTTCCTAATGTGTTCTCAGCCTGTTATCATTCTAGACAAAGGGGAGTAGCAATTCTAATACATAAAAATATTAATTTCACAGTACTCGATACAGTTGTAGATCCAGAGGGCAGATTCCTAATTGTCAAACTATCTATACTTAACCAAAAGCTAGGTATTGTAAGTATATATGGTCCAAATGTTGATGATCCCTCATTCTTCCACGGTTTTTTCAGTGCACTCTCTGAACACTTAGATGGCACACTTGTTCTTGGAGGCGACCTCAACCTGGGACTAAATGAAGACATGGATAGGCTCAATACAGCGGGAACTCAGCGTAATTGGCAGTCCACAAATATAATCAAACAGTATATGAGCGACTTTGGTCTTTGCGATGCATGGCGCTCCCTTCACCCCACCAGTAAGGAATATTCTTTTTTCTCACATATCCATCACTCCTACTCTCGTCTGGATTATTTTTTGGTCAGCAGCTCACTGCTGAGCGACATTTCAGACACTGAGATTCATCCTATAGCTGTCAGCGATCATGGTCCTGTATCTTTAACACTAATACAGATGAATAATACTACACCAAGAAAAAACTGGAGATTTAATACATCACTGCTCAAAGACCAAGAGTTTATCAAATACTTTAAAAAAGAGTGGACTCTATATTTAGGCTTTAATGACATTCCTGGAACATCAGCATTTGTCCTCTGGGAAGCAGGGAAAGCCGTGATGAGAGGTAAAATAATCCCTTTCTCATCACATAAGAAAGAAGAAAACAAAAACATTCAGGAACTAGAGAAAAACATCAAATCCTTAGAAAAAGCCTATGTGTCACACCAAGATCAAGAAATACTAAACAAAATACGCAAGACAAAACTAGAATTAAATGAAATTATTAATAAAAAGACTAAATTCTTAGTACAAAGACTTCGCCTGCAAAATTATGAACACGGTAACAAATCCGGACAATTTCTTGCTAACCAGTTAAAAATCAAACTATATGTGCTGTTAAAGATTTATCTGGGAACACAATATATGATCCTAAAAAAATAAACAAAATTTTTAGTGATTTCTATGAAACTTCATATACACCACAAATAAACCCATCTAAAAACGAAATTGATCAATTTCTCTTCAACATAACTCTTCCAAAATTATTAGACACCCAAGCAATGGCACTGGATTCACCACTGATGCCAGGTGAACTCCAGGAAGCTCTGATAAGTATGCCCAATAATAAGGCTCCAGGTCCAGACGGCTTTCCAACAGATTTTTACAAAGAATTCTGGACAATTCTGGCACCAGTTTTTCACAGGATGTTGCAGGAAATCAAGGAAAATGGTAGACTACCACCAAATATGAACTCTGCAAATATCAGTCTCTTACTAAAACCAGGCAAAGATCTTGTATTTCCTTCAAGACAATTCTCATTCTAAAGAATTCTGCTCATGTTTACTAGCTGCTTGATTTATTGGTGACTTTAAATCATTAAACTCTAAATTGTAGATTTCAAATTCTAATTTCTTTTGATCCTTTAATCCTTGTGCATAGGTTTTTAAGATGTACGATTTATATTTGAAGTTGAAAATAAAATATAATTAATTAAACATGTTTGTGGTTGTTACAGTAAAAAAACAACTTTTTTTCTACTCAGAGTTTATGGGGTTTTTTTTGTCTGATTTTAGATCAGTTGTGTTAATACAGTATGTCAAAATGAAAAAGAATAACAGTAAATTCAGACATGTGAGGTTGTGCTGAAAAGAATGATACAGAACAAGGAAAAGTAAATAGTTTTTAAAGGTGAAATGTAGAGGAAACATCAAAAGCAGTCAAAAACGGCTGATTATACCCTGGACCCCAGAGGGTTACCCACTGTTAATTTTTAAATATTGTAACTCAGTTACAAACTCAGCTACTTTGTTAAAGAAGTAACTACTAAGTATAACTAATTACTTTTTGAAAGTAACTTGGCCAACACTGCTGATGTTGACCTCTCCCAGTTTGAGTTCTGACTCACTGTCCAATCAAAGCTCTTTGTTTCTCTCCTCACTTTCTTCCAGCAAAGTTTAAGAACGGCTCATGTTGGACCATCTTGATCACATCACTATAAATTTGTCAGTAATTTTGTCTCCAGTTTTATTTATATTGTGCCAAATCAAAACCTCAAGGTCCAGAAAGAAAACCTGGAGAGTAATCAACTGTGGGCTGTGGTTGGGAGGCCTGTGCTGTCTGAGCATGATGCTGGATACTGGTTAACTTTCACCTGTGTTTATCTAGGACAGCTTTTATTGTGGAGGCACCTCCTGTCAGAGTGGTACAGCTTCCTGTTGAGAGTCTCCTGAGAGGAGGGTGAGGTCCGAGGCAGTGAGGAGCTCTGTAACAGGACTGTGAGGATGAAAATGAGGCTGCTCTCTGTGATCCTGCTGCACGGTAAGAAGAATTTCCAACCTCTGATCCAACACACACACTGAAGGAGCTGCTTTTTCAGTGTGTGTGTCTCCTTTACACACAGATGCTGGCAGGGTGTCAGGATGTGTTTGTTCAGCCTCTCTTTGCTTGAACTTTTTGAAAGTTTCTAAAATTCCACAGGTGTGGTGGACAGGGGGGTTGTTCCTCTGGGTTTCTTACCTGGATCAGAGTGTGTGTTAATAACTCTGAACTCTGTTAGAGAGTCTGCAAACTTTGAATGCTCGTTTAGAGCAGTGAGCACAGAGTTTGGAAAAACTTCTTAAAGAGAGAAGGTTGTCATGAACTCTGCTTTTTTATAAAGTCTTTATGCATCAGAGCTGTGTGCCTTTATTTGGCTTCATGCTACATGTGCTTTGTTACCGTTTAACAGGCTTTATTGATCAGCACCTTCCTGTGACAGTGCTGGAGATCGATTTTGTGCATTTTATGTAAAAAGACTTTTTATTTTTTGTTTTTCCAAAGGAAAGTCTGCACGTTCATGTGGACACAAGCCTGTTCATGATACAAGTCAGGGTGATGTGGGGGTGGGATTGACGGTTTCTAATATAAAGGACACAGAAAGAGAAAGAGAAGGATGAGACCGTTACACTGATAATCCAGACGACTCTCCACTAGTCTGTACTTGTCAAAACTGGCATCTTACACCATGAAACTGTTCTTACACTGTTGTTTTATAACCTGTTCAAAACACTGACATGAGTCCACTATCAGATAAGATCATTAGTAACCTTCACTGTTTCTGTGCTGTGATGAAACCTGACTGAAACTCTTCAAATAAACCATTCCTCCACAGATGGTCAGTTAGCTGTTTGACAACTACTCTTTCAAGGATGTTTGATATGAAAGGAAGGTTGGATACTGGTGTATAATTGGCTAAGACTGCTGGGTCTAGATTCTTTGTCGTGGTTCTGTTTTTTGTTTTTTAATTGATGGTTCTTAGTTATTTTTGCAACTCTGTGATTTCCTAGCCTTTAGGTTTTTTCTCCTTGCCTCCCTTGTGTTCCTTGTGTAGTGCCATTATGATACTTAATTCTACCAAATCAATGTTTATCCTTAGCCAGCAGTGTCAGGGATCCCTCAATGCTGCCTCGGGTCCACTATTCCTCAGTCTGTAATGATAGAGCTATCCTCTGAAAGCTCTGTGCAGTGACCACCCCCCACTTCCGCACTTCTATCCGCTGTATCACCAATAATGATTCAAATTATAAAGTAAAGGAGTTATTAACAGCTTTTTCAAATTTTATATATATATATTTCCTCGACATCATTATCATGTTAGCCAAGAGGAGTCTAATCTGTCACTATGCCTTTTCACTAAGAGATGAGGAGTTTCATGATGGCGCTGTCTGTGATGACAGGAGAGGAATGATTTATGATGGTCTGTTTTACGTCTCATGTCTTATCAGACTTAGTTTAAAGCACTGCTTGCCTTACTTGTGCAGACAGAGCCCCAAACTTTGTACACCATGGTACATCGCTACCACTCCATCCAAACACCAGGTATTTTCTTACCTGTGTTAGAAAATACTCCAGTAAAAGATGAAGCACTGAAGAAACTTCTTTACTCAATAAAAGTAAAAAAGTACAGACTGTGAAATGAATTTTAAGAAAATAAAAATTAGCTCCTTTAAGAAAAACTTGTAACATCGATTTTTCCAGGAACTGAACCTTTAAATTAATTAACCGTTACTCCCTTTATGCTCGCTCCTCTTCAGCAGGGCTAGCTAGATGCTGAAGTACTGTGACTTATTGCCCCGCCCACTTTTACCACTTAAGCACAGTAACAAAGTATCTGTACTTTGGTAATGCCCACCTCTGTTGATGAATCATGCAGGGTTTATGCATTTATTATTTTTTTTGCACACCCTATAAGAGAATGAAGCTCGTACACCAGGAGTGTCAAACTCCAGGCCTCGAGAGCCTGCAGGTTTTATATCTCACCCTGGGTCAACACACCTGACTCCAATGATTATTTTATTACCAGGCCTCTGGAGAACTTCAAGACATGTTGAGGATGTTTTAGCTATTTAAATCAGCTGTGTTAGATCAAGGACATGTCTAACTCACGAAGGACACTAGGTCTCGAAGCTTGGAGTTCCCCAGCCCTGTAGTACACAGTCACACTTTCTCTGACCTTCAGTGACCTCTGTCCTCCTGTTGCAGGTGTGTGTGTGCTGCATCTCTCTGCACTGACTGTTTCTGCAGGTGAGTAGATGGAAGTGAAAACCATCAGTGAGACTCCAACAAGAACACAAATACATTTAGTCTGTCTGTGTATCTGTCTGCCCTTCAGTCTCTCTGAGTGTAACTCCAGATTACAAGCAGTTCTTCAGTGGTGGTGCTCTAGCGATTTTGTCTTGTGATGATGATGATGAACAAAGAGTTGATGGATGGACAGTGAAGAGGACCAGAGGAGGAGTCACTGAGAGATGTGGAGCAGCTGAAGGCCTTGTTCTTAAAAGTTCTCTGTGTCAACTCAAGTTGCGTAACCCCTCTGATGGAGCTTACTTCTGTGAAAGCTCATCTGGACAGCGTAGTGATGAAGTCAACATCATTGTTTCAGGTACAGATGTTCCAGCTGTGTCTGTATGACTCTGTGTGTTGGTGGAAGTCTGTCTCTGTATCACTCTGTTTGTGTCTCTTTTGGTCAGCTGGTTCCCTGATCCTGGACATCCCTTCATCTCCTGTGTGGACAGGAAGTAATGTGACTCTGCTCTGTCAAACCAGAGATGGTGAACCGGTGAAGTCTTATTTCTATAAAGATGGGGACATGATTGAACCTGATCCTAAAGAAAATTTGACTCTCACTAATGTTCAGAAGTCTGATGAAGGTCTCTACTCGTGCTCCACTGAGGATCATCCACATACTCATGAAAGCAGGCTGACAGTCAGAGGTCAGTGCAATGATCTTTCTTATTCAACCTCTTTTCCTGGACTTTAGTAGAAATGTCATAGAGATCAATGAAAGGTGGTAGGTTATATCTTACTTTATCGATACATGTTCTCTTAATGTATTCAAGTCACATAAACTAGAAGAGCCAGTGAAATCTATCCCATTGTTACAAATGTTGGAATATTAAAGAAGGAACAAAGAGGTCCATATTCACTGTAGTGGCACAAAACCTCTATTTGACATTTAACACTGCTGGATTTACTAAAGAGACTCAGTGTCCGGTTGTGACTGACAGATGTGAACATTAGTTTCTTTTCAGGCCCATGTTTCTCTTTCAAGAGGAGAATATTTGAATGAATCACACAAATGTGAGTCACTAAGGTTTAACCGCAGAGAAAAGCACATCTTATAGCTGCTGTGAAAGATGCAGGGAGTCAGTTTGGAATGAGACCATCTCCTCTGCTGATTGGGCCCACCACAGTTGACACACCTGTCCATTGGTATTGTAGGCAGGCTTGCAGTCATGTGTGTGAGGACAGTACAGGAGAGGACTCAGGACGCAGCCATGTGGAGCTGCTGTACAGAGAGAATAGTGGATATTTTATTCAAGCAATTTGGCAGAGAATATGCAAAAGTTTAATCAGGCAGAATCCCTCGATCCAATCGTCTGCAGTTGATCCTGATCTAACTCGTTTATTCTATAATGCTGATTTCTGTCTGCGGTCTTGGGATGAGAGAAGAAGATGGGTACGCCCAGACCGTCACTGCACTCCTCTCCATCCTGTGCCTGATAAAGTCCATAAATAAAGACTTTCATGACAGATAGTCTCAGTTTATCCTCAGTGTAACCTGAAGATCCTTTCTTTAGTCTTTCAAGAATTCAGACAGCTCTGTCTTTCAGTGAGGAAGCTTCCAGAGACTACTGGAACTGATGAGCTGACCAGATAATAAACTGACTGAACCATCTTTGTCATTGTTCCTGCAGATCCTCCCACAGATCCTCCTCCTACTGTAAAACCTACCACTACTACCACCACTACTACTACTGCTACTACTACTACTACTACTACTACTACAACCACAACCACTCGTCGTTCTCCTCGTCGTCGCTCTTCTGGCCCTCCTCTCACAGCCTCCATCATGTCAGGTCTGGTTTCTGTGGTTCTCCTGGTTCTGGTTTGAGTTCTGCTCCTTTGGAGGAAGCTAAAAGGTAACACGTGTGTCAGCTGAGTAACGGAGCACATACATGTGTGTGTTAGGGAAGGTCAAAGGTCACCAGATCTGAGCTGAAATTGCTGATGTTTGTCTTTGAAGAGGAAAGTGAGGACGCACTCTGCCTTATGGAGGACCTTCATCCTACTGTCTCATCATTGCCCCCCCCCCCGAAGCTCCAGTAACCAGTATAAAAGGGGGTGTGTCTTCAGAGTGTCAGCTTTGCTGTTGTATCTTTACTGCTGGGCCTGGGATTTTACATGTTTTGTCTTATTATGCAGCACTTTGTGGTTGTTTTTAAAAGTGCTTTTAACCCTTCAAGACCTACCATTGAACCAATTCTGCCAGAGCTTTTCTTTATATTTTTACATGCTGCCATTTTGGGGAGCATTTCAAGTTACTGTACACCAATACAACCATTATAGCCCAGATTTTAATAACATGTATGCATTAAGTGCATAGTAATTACATAAATTGCAAAAAAAGTGCAACAAACTACAAAAAAACTGAAAATCGCTTTTTTTTGTTAACATATATTTCTAGTTAGCGAAATTTAAGATGCTTATTCCTCAAAACTGTAAATACAAAAAAGTTGCACAAAATAGTTTCCCATCACAGGAAATTTATTTTATTAAGTGTCTTCATAGTTTTATTTTTGAAATACGCCAATTTTTATATACTGCAGGAAAAACGAAAATAAGTATTATAATGCAGATTTGCAAAAAAATAGTTTATTTTGATGCATATGCTATTTCCAGCAGTACAATTTGAATTCTAAGCATCCCAGAAACGACACAGAAAGTCATAAAGTCAAACATAACTTTTAAAAACACCAGTATAGGCTTAGAAGGGCCTGATGGTAACAAACTACATTTCTGCGAAAATGACGTCACTTCTGGTTTCGGGCAGGTCACGGCGGATATGCGATAGTTCGCGCTGATGAACGTAGGAAGTGTTACGAACAGCTGATCGGATCGGCAAAGCATGTTTCTGGGATATTATGTTTTTGTTGCTGCAAGTGCTTTTTATGCAATTTTTGCAAAGCTATAGGACAAGCTGATGTAAGTACAACTCCTCCGGTTTCATATGCAAAAAAAAAATAGTTATGCAAAACGGAGCATGCCCACTCTGACTGGCTTTTTAAGGGTTAAGTAAAATATTTTTGGATGTTTAAAGGTTTTCCTGCAGCTCTGCAATGACTTGTATTTTCAGACATGACAGCTGTGACTGTGTGTGTATTACACAGGTTTTGCGCTGTAATAATGAACTATTAAAGTTTCTCACCACAAACACATTAATGTCTGAGTCTTTGTTCAAGATTGCTGGAGAGCAGCTGGTCTCCAAGCACAGCACCATGACAGGGTGGCAGTCAGTAGAAAATGTGGAGATCAGGGAAATATTTTACTGCTACTATTCATAACCATCATCATTACCATTACATTAATTATCATTTCATCAAAGCATTTATTCAGTAAATTACACATGTTCTTAGTTAAGATTATTACACCGATCACAGAGAGCTTCTGTCTAGTAAAAGGTTAGAAGCATCAACGGGCGGGGTGAGTCTGAGTGCGTTGGAGGTTGAGACACACACACAAACAGTAGTTAGACTCATATTTAGGTAAGAGTTCAAATAATAGTTTGCAAAAGCTTGTGACTGCAAAACTGTGTCTGCCTAAGGGACAGTTTGTTCCAGGAGATGAGCGAGAGTTAGAAGATTAATAGGAAGCACCTGGCCTCGAGACGGAGAAGATGTCCTTTTAAATGTGTCAAAAGTCATCAACAGAACATTTGCATATCCATGTATTGTATCTGCTTTGACGCATGAGGGGGCGTCATAAATAATACCCTGATGTTATAAAAACAACTGCTTGTGTATCATTGGGCGGAGATCGATGCTGTCGGTATGCAGTGTTCATCTCCCCACGCGTGTGTCCATTGTTTGACCGAAGCTCTTCTGGACCATAGTAGTTTTTGTGCTCACCCTCAATATTTGAACTCTATTAGAAACATTAGAAGACGTTTCTGATCATCAATGGGCTGATATGTGATTAAGACAGTTAAATGAATGTTATGCTATCACTGATAAGAATGAAATAAATCGTGATATACAGCAACAGATTGATTGCGATTTTGCATTCTGACCAGTTGAGGCCAATTTTAACCGCCCATTGAACCTCATCATTAAAAGGTAAAATGTTGCATCTTTTGGTCTGGTTTTAGTTTCTGGAGAGTGCTAACGTTCTTGATGTGTTGATGTTGGGCACTGAGGAGGACTGAATACGATAAAAAAAACAAAACACACATTGTAAATATGATACTCACTAAGATCATTTCTTTTAACCTTGACTGATCTTTTCAATTTAAAATGTCCTTAATTAACTAGTTTCAAATAGAAGCTCAAGTAACCACTATAAAAGCAGGGAGTGTGTATTTGGAGAGTTTGCTGTGCTACTTTCCTTTTTAAAAGTTTTCCTTCAGCTCTGCACTGACTTATTACCTGACATTACCAGAGTTGGGCAGTACTGCAATCCAGTAAAGTGTAAAGCAAGGGATTACTATGGCAAAAAAGTAATTAAATTACATACTGCTTGAAGGTATTCCACTGAGACCCATTGTTAGCAGCATGAACTCAGCCACTTACAACATTTCAAAACACCTTGCTACAACCAACTTCACCCCCGAACAGAATGGCACACTGTTAGACCTCTGCCTTACCTCCACAATATTTCAAATATAACAAGGTTTTCTACAGACACGAACATGGATGTGCCATAGGCTCCCTGGCGTCACCTACTGTAGCCAACCTTTACATGGAGGAAGTGGAAAGAAAGTCTCTTGGCTTTTTAAAAAGGAGAGTACCTAGCCACTGGTACAGATATGTAGATGACACCTGGGTCATAATTGTTGGAGTTGTCATTGTTGTCATTTTTTTTTTCTTTTTTTTCTAAATGACATCAGAAACAGCTGTATGCGACATTACGTGATGGCAGAGCTTCAGTTCATCCTTTGTCATTTTTTTTTTTTTTTAATAAATAGGACAGGGGGAATGAATGAGAGAGAGAGGGGGAGAGAAAGAAAGAAAACCAAAGGGGAGAAGAGACGGTGAGAAGGGGGGGGAAGAGAGACAAAAAAAAACTCCTGGGTCACCTGTATGGAGAAAAAAAAAAAAAAAAAAAAAAACAAACAAAAACAGCAAACAACAAAGAGCAACATAATAATAGAGAAAACAAAGCACCATCACAATAAACTAGCTAGTCATAGATATCAGTATTTACTAAGTAATAGACGATATTGTGCAGCACGCAAGATAGACAGCGCACAGTGTGCTTTGAGGCAGCAGCCAAGAAAGCTTTAGTCCGCGTCTGTGAATACCCATGTGTGCATACCTGTGTGGATCAGCATGCTTGCATTCCAAAGGTTTCTCCATGTAATGATCTGCTAGGGAGTGTGGGGGGGCCACAGCCCCGTCCTCCAGGGTGTGAAGCGGGTATGGAGGAGATCAAAACTCCAGACATCCAGAGGCCCCCAGAACACAAGAGACCATGGAAGACCAACAGAGGGGCAGCCGCGCCACTGTCCCAGTAAGAGCTGAGGAGAGTCCCAGATGAGGGCTCGCCCAGCAGCCGCGGAGCAGAAGTCAGGGGGAGTTGCAGTGACGTGCCCGTGAGCTCCGCCGGCCCCCAGCTGCGCCTGAGTGACCGAGCCCTAGGCCGAGAGGCCGGGGGCACCCCACCTCCAAAGGGGCCCGAGCGAGCCCCAGGCCCCAGGCCCCGACAAGCGGCCGCCAAGGAGTGAGCCGGTGTGCACCCGGACGCCCACCCCCAGACACAAAGAACCACCAACACACCGACACCTGAGGGAGTCCGCCACCGGCAGGGGAAGTGGTGGTGGGTGGAGGTAGGCCTCCAAACCTTGGAGGGCCTGAGGTGTCCCCAGAGAGGTGGCGTCTGATACCCAACCTGACATATAGACACAGACATACAGGCACACACAGACACAAACATCCATTCCCACCCTCATGCTCTCATATGCACTCACTCCACACTCAACCAACGTGGAGACAGACATAAAGAGACGCTGTACACACAATCACACTCCCCAAGCGTACTCTACAAACCGGGTCTAGGTACCCTTGCCCCTGGAGGGGGGAATTGCACCCAGACCCAGGTGGTGTTTCCCTTTTCCCTGCGGTGGGGAGAGGCAGACCACCCCGACTCCGCAGCAGCAGGGAGGCCCCACACCCCAGACCGCAGTCGGACGGCCAACTCCTCCTACTAGCCCTCCCGCTCCAGCAGGCCGCAGAGAATGGGGGTGGGAGAAGACTCCAAACCTCCCTCCACCCGCTCATTGTAGTGTTGATGCATATGTGTTCTAAGGTGCAATTAAAACCCAGGAGGGCATGGAGCTACCTGCCAAGGAGCAGCAGGTAAGCGCATAGTCCCTCCTGCTAACCCTCAATGACTAAGTGTATTTAAAATTGAGAGGTGGGCAACGACGTCAGGGGTGAGGTATACACCCTGATGGTGTCATTGTTGTCATTAAAACTGTAAATCTTCTCCCAAACTGCATGTTCGGATATTTTCTTCACGTGAGGAAACTTGTCTCCTGGGGTGACAAACAGAAGTCTTTATCACTGTAATAATAATAATGATAGATTGCATTTATAAAGCGCTTTTCTATACACTCAAAGCTTTTTCCAATTCCACTATTCATTCACTCTCACATTCACACACAATGACTACAAGAGAACACGTGACCATGGATGAACAGCTGTTCCTACCAAGGTCCATTCACACAGTATATCGCAACCAAGCCAGACAAATTTGGGATCAGGTTCTGGATGGCCACGAATTTGGAGACCAAATATGTCTGCAGTGCATTTCCTTACTTGGCAAATGACCCCAGTCGTCAGAAGGGAGAGAGGTAGGCAGAGAATGTGGTCATGAAACTGATGGAGCCATTTTTGGATGATGGGAGAAATGTCACAATGGACAATTTATTCACCTCACTGTCGCTCAGACTGCTGCAGAGCAAACATTACTGGGCACGGTGAATAAAGTCTGCTGTTCTGGGATTCCATCCTACCTGACAAACCATCCTACCCGTTGTTTCTGTGCATGCGCACAACACGAAATTAAGTGTTAAACCCTC